GGAAGGCAGTGAGTTGTGCCTCAGCACTAGTAGCGCGGTAGCTCGTCTTAATGCCGCGAAGGTGCGTGGGAAGGATCAGGCGACCTGCAGAGGCAGTGGCGGGGGTAGAATAGCGCGCAATGACAGCATCTAGGAAGGCTTGGGCGTTCGCTACAGTGGTAAAGCGAGGACGCTCAGACAGCGGGAGTGCACGGCTGATAGCAAGCTGGGCGACAGCATCACGCGAGTCCCAAATGGCATGATCAAGCGCAGCAGTGGAAAAGTCCTCACGCTCAGCAGTGGTGGGGGCATCAGGGAGGGCAGCAGGGGCAGGGGGGCGGGGAAGCAGTCCATCGACATGAACAGCCAGGGAGTGACCGTCCTGACGCTGACCTGTAAGGTGACGCCGAAGATCGACGAGCCACGCCTGAAAGTCGATCGCCCGACCCTCTGCGTCCAGACGGAGCTGTGACTCCTCCATCGCCACTGCTGCAGCTGCTGACTGCCGCTGACAGAGTGAGGAGGACAGGTGGAGGAAGAGGTGAAGAGTGGTGGAGTATAGTATAATGCGGTGGAGTGCGGTGGAGTGTGGTGCAGTGAGGTGGAGTGCGGTGAAGTGTGGTAGAGGGTGGTGGAGTGCGGTGGAGAGGGGTGGAGAACGGCGGAGACAGCCAGCAGGTAAGCCGGCGCTGAAGGGAGCCAGAGCCGGTGGGTCCAGTAGCTGGCCGCTGAAGCGGGGCCGGCAAGGCTGGAGCCGGCTGGCTGGGCAGCTAGGTGGCGAGGGCCGACGGGGCGCACGGGGCAAGCGGGGCGCGGACAAGGCCAGTAGGGCGCCAACGGGGCCGGCGGGGCGCTAACAGGCCGGCGGGGCGAGCAGGGCCAGGGGGGCGCACAGAACCGACGGGGCGCTAACAGGGCCGGTAGGGCGCGAGCGGGTCGGCGGGGCGCTAGCGGGCCGGTGGGGCGAGCGGGGCCAGAGGGGTGCACAAGGCCAACGGGGCGCTTACGGGGCCGGTAGGGCGCGAGCGGGCCGGCGGGGCGCTAACGGGCTGGTGGGAGAGCGAGGCCAAAGGGGCGCACGGGGCCGACGGGGCGCGGACTGGGCCGTTAAGGCGCTAACGGGCCGGCGGGGAGCTAACGGGCCGGCGGGGCGAGGAGGGCCAGAGGGGCGCACGGGGCCGACGGGGCGTTAACGGGCCTGCGTGGCGCTAACGGGCCGGCGGGGCGCTAGCAGGGTGGTGGGGCGAGCAGGGCCAGAGGGGGCGCACGGGGGCGACGGGGCGCTAACGGGGTCGATGGGCGCGAACGGGCCAGAGGGGGCCGACGGGACGCTAACGGGGCGCTAACAAGCTGGCAAGGCGCGAACGGGGCCGGAAGGGTGCTAAGGGGCAGCTAGGAGTGGGCGGCTAGGACTAGGACGGGAGCGGAAGCGCGGGTGGGCGGGGAGGACCTAACCTAGCGCGTGATACCATGTCAGAGTAAAAGTTGACTAGAATGGGGAATACATGTTGGTTTTGTTAAGTGGTTGTACCTTCTAAGAGCATGTACCTATCTAGCCTATTATAACATATACAAATATGTTTGACAAGTTGTGTCTTGAAACTCGCTATTTTTGGTCTTGTGAAGCTGTTATTGAAGCGCATGGCCGGGTGACTTTTGTCGTGCTTAGTGAATTTTGCTCCTGGTTATATCATAGAAAATTTTGGCCGATGATGCTCGATATGTTTTGTTTGGTTTGGCTGTCAGCTTGTTTTGCCACGAAGTAGTTGAACATTCATCCAATTATTACAAATAGCACATTGTCAAATCATATATATATATATTATACATGTTTGTTAGGCTTGGTAGGTGTGCTACTTGCTGAATCTTACTGTAGAAGGGACAAATCCCTCCTTCTTGTATCTCATTCTCTTCTATTCCATCTCTCTTCTCTCTCATAACTTTCTCCTTCCTAAACCTCACGCCATTCCATGGCTCCTCTACCCACCTAGCTACTTTGACATGGTATTAGAGCAGGTTCAACCTGCTGGACCTTCTTCTCTCGCTTCCGCCGTGCACTCCTCCTCTCTTTCTTGCGCTGCCATGGCGGCCGCGTCGTGCTGCTGTGGCGGCGTCGTCGTGCCGCCGGCCGCGTCGTGCTGCCGCGGCCGTCTCGACGTGCTGCCGTGGTGTCGCGTTGTTGTGGCGTCGACGTCAAGCCGTGGTGGCGTCGTCGACGTGCTGCCAGCGCGCGGACGGCACGGACGGCAGCAGCCAGCGCCCCGTCTTAGCGCTGGCCAGCACGCTCGCATGCAGCCAGCGCGCCACACGGGGCGGCACGCTTCTGGGCTCTGCTACTGAAGCCTGCCTCCCCTGTATCTCCCCTTTTTTCAGCAGCAGCTGATGCCTTCATACCCGGTCGTCGCCGAGTCGTGCCACACCGCCGGGTGCTGCGAGCTACGCCATCGCCGCCGTCGTCGTCGAAGCCGCCGCCGCCAGCGCATGGGCTTGGGGGTGTTGCGTGAGGGGTGGGATTGCCACTACCAAGCCTAGGGGGTGTGTCAAATCATATATATACTTGTTAGGCTTGGTAGGTGTGCTACTTGCTGAATCCTACTGTAGAGGGAACAACCCCCCCTTTCTTGTATCTCATTCTCTTCTATTCCATCTTCTTTCTCTCTCGTAACTTTCTCCTTCATAAACCTCACGCCATTCCATGGCTCCTCTACCCACCTAGCTACTTTGACACGCATAAGCTATAAACAACATACAGCAATCATCTAAATGCGCTAACATGATGGGATGTGGTTGGTTCGGCGCTAATGTGCCTTCGATGTAAACTCACCTGAACTCCTGCGTGGCCCAAGTCAGAATAGCTTTGGTAACCACGTCCGTGTGGCTCGAACCAAAAGATTCCGTCTGGATTTCATTGGTCGCCGCTGAATTACTGACGCCATCACCAGCCACGGAGTATCCCCTTCTGCGACGTCAGTGCAGCCGCAGTGCGTACCACGAACGAGCCAAATCAGGCAGAGTATTTCGCGAAAAGCTCTTTGCAGCACCTTCTCCTCCCCAGGCAAAACTAGTCACCTTGGTGCATGGCGGTTCCTCGTTGTGAGGCATGTCAAAACTAGTCACCTTGGTGCATGGCGGTACCTCGTTTTGAGGCGTGTCAAAACTAGTCACCTTGGTGCATGGTGGTACCTTGTTTTGAGGCGTGTCAAAACTAGTCACCTTAGTGCATGGCGGTACCTCGTTTTGAGGCGTGTCAAAACTAGTCACCTTGGTGCATGGCGGTACCTCGTTTTGAGGGGTGTCAAAACTAGTCACCTTGGTGCATGGCGGTACCTCGTTTTGAGGGGTGTCAAAACTAGTCACCTTGGTGCATGGCGGTACCTCGTTTTGAGGCGTGCCAAAACTAGTCACCTTGGTGCATGGCGGTACCTCGTTTTGAGGCGTGTCAAAACTAGTCACCTTGGTGCATGGCGGTACCTCGTTTTGAGGGGTGTCAAAACTAGTCACCTTGGTGCATGGCGGTACCTCGTTTTGAGGGGTGTCAAAACTAGTCACCTTGGTGCATGGCGGTACCTCGTTTTGAGGCGTGCCAAAACTAGTCACCTTGGTGCATGGCGGTACCTCGTTTTGAGGCGTGTCAAAACTAGTCACCTTGGTGCATGGCGGTACCACGTTTTGAGGCGTGTCAAAACTAGTCACCTTGGTGCATAGCGGTACGTCCTGGTTTCACACATCTCGGCTGGACACGCGACGAAACCGCAACCTTCTTCTCGTCATTCTCCTGACCAATCTGTACGTCTGATTGCGTATGTAATGGTCGTGGGTGGCTCAAGGCGTCACTTTGCTGCATGGGGGCAACTCCTGGTTCTTATCTTTGTGCTCCTCACCACTCTGTTAGGCCGTCACTGTTCTTTCCACGCTCTTCAGCCATGCCAAGTAGCGCAACTGCAACCTTCTTCTAGTTGTGCTCCTCTAAATTGCATACGATTCTTGCATATTCAATGCATTCACCCTTCTTGAGTACTATTCTATTGTACCTTCTTATGTTTCGACGCATGGTGGTTGGCCACCGCACACTCCATTCCCCCTCGCCCTATTCCCTTTCCAACCCTCCCACCGTTCTCCTCCTGGCAGGATCTTCCTCTTTGTCACCATCCTCACTCGATCCATATCATCCCTGGACAATGCTCACCCCAACACACACTCCGTTCCTCCTCCTCCTCCGCCCTTTCCCCCAACCAATCCCCCGACCCCTGCCCAGTGGCCGATTCCGCCCACTTCCTCTCCGCCTCGTTCCTCTGGGAGGCCATGCGCTATCTTGCCGCCATGCGCACACTACAGTACGCGTGGATGATTTCAAGGTATTGCACCGTACACACAGTGAACCTGGAGGCATTTCAAAGAGAGGCAATGCGAGCCAGTGTCGTGCCGATTGGGTCCCCTCCTAGGTCTGGTATAGAAGTCAGGGAGGAAATCAAGGAAGCATGGGGATTATGTTTGAGTTGTTAAGGTGATGCACTATGAAGTTGATAGGTGCATCTCATAGCGTGGCATGCGCACGTAACTTGTGCATCTGTATATGCACAATAGCTACGCAAACCTTTCGATGCTATGGACTTCATGCTGGGCCATAGGGTGTTTGCAAATAAATAAGGTACCGTACTATTATGGTGTGGCGCAATGGTCTGCTCGCGCCAAGGATTCTTCAGCGACAATTGTTTGCAAACTATGCACATTAGGTTCATGTTCCTTGGTGTGATGGGTATGGTTTTCTATTACCGTATCCGCATTATTACAAAAGTCACACCACAATATGAACCACACATATTCTATTGAATTTGATTTCATGTGTAACATGTGGGTGGTCCTGGTAGCCATTCCCTGATTTTGCCGCCATTGCAGAATGGGGTACGACGTGCGTGCAGGTGACTCGCTTCTGATTCTGACACTCGCTCGCTCCTGACAGGCACTGCTGGGAGTAGCTTCCACAACCTTCCCAAGTTCCCACCCGAACGAAAATAGCAGACCCATATTTCACATCACTCTCATGTTGACGCGAACCATCTCAGACTAAAATAGCAGGGTGTGCTACGGACCTCCATAGGGTAGCGAGCTACCGTGATCGTCGTAGTGGTCACCTGGTATGCTATAGTCCGAATTCCGCGCACTAGCTACCTTGATCATGGGTCAGCAGGTGCGCTACTATTGTTTCGGCTAAATTAGTTCCTTCAAAGATCAGGGAGAAACCCGTTTCTTGAAATGGACGGCTTTGATGATAACCCGTTCGCCACCGGCGACGACGCTCAGCCGTTTGTTGCCGGAGGCGGGACGAAACCCACCGGCCGGCAAATCCCAGTAGACCCTTTCGCATTCCCACCAAAAACTCGTGCACCCGTCAAGACAAGCGTCGATACTAGCTCGAGTGTCAGGATCACGGACGCGAAAAGTGTGGCGGGTAACAGTAACAGTTACATCAACAGTAACAGTAACAGCAGCGGGAGTGCGAATTCCGCGCGGTCGTCGGCAATCCCTGAGGATTGGCTCGACTCCTGGACTGGATCAGGCGCATCCCCTTCCAAATCCACTTTCGCTGCAAGCACCTCTAGTGCTTCCGAGCCCCCGTTACAGTCACAAGATGGCGCGTTGGCAGCAGCGCAGCTAGCCATGGGTTTCCTGCAGGCGGTGCAGGGGGCGTCTGGCGTTGGGGGGGGATTGAAAGCTGGGGTTTCTGGAGTTGGGGGGACGATGGGAGCTGGGACTTCTGAAGCCGGGGGAACGGTGAAATCTGGGAGTTTTGGTACGTCAGCAGCAATGTCAACACCAGCAGCAGCAGCAGCAGCAGCAGGGACAAGGGGAGGCGGAACTGCGGCCAGTGAAGATCCGTTTGCGTTTCTGGAAAGCACTCCCTTAGGGGTTACCAGGGCAACCCTAGGGGATGGTCATTCTTCCAACCCCTTTCAGCAGTCTCAGCAACCATCCCAGCAGCAGGACAATACTCTCTTTGACTCATCCCCGTTTGTAGCGTCCTCGTTACCATTATTCAGCTCCAATGATTCTACTGCACCTCCAGATCCCGACCTTGCATCAGACCCCTTCTGGACCTCGTTATCGGCACAACCCCCCTCGTTTTCGTCACAACCCCCTATAGTCACTTCAGGCAGTACCCTCGCTAGAGAGGCGGAGTCCGCCCCTTCTCCTTTCTTAGACTTGTTAGGCGAGCCTCTGGTCGAACTCACAGGCTCCAATGCTGCTGCTGCCGGTTTTGGTGGTGGTTGTGGTGCTTCTGCTGCCGATGATGCTGCTACTGCTGGTACAGCAACGAGACAAGCAACAGCCGAGAGTGCAGAAACCACACATCCACTGGCCAGAGGCCCAGCAGCCGAACGGTCTGCTTCAGCAGCAGCAGCAACGGCTTATGACTTGGCGTTCCTTGAGTCGCTGCGGTCTTCCCCTGCTCCTGCCGCTGCTGCACCTGCAGGGGGTTCTGCTGCCACTGGCGCTGCTGGTGGTGATGCTGGTGCTGCCGGTGCTGCTGATGTTACTGCTGATGCTACAGGCTCTGCAAGTTTTGATGGCTTTGGGGACTTTTCTGATCTCGGACTGCCCGCGGTTGTGGTTCCTGCTGCTGCTGCTAAAGTAGGTGCACCTGGGTCAGGTGCATCTGGATCAGGCGCATCTAAGCCAACCGCTGCTGCAGCGCCTAGTGCTTCTGCACCTCTCTTCCCTGCCTTCACCTCTCCAGCCGCAGACATTGGGGGTAAAACACGCTCCGCGGGTTATGATGGCTCAGAGGGTATTGCAGAGAAGGAGGAGGACGAGGAGGAACGACAGATAAGGGACGTTGACATTCGCAAGGCCGCTGCTGACGTCACCATCAGCCCCGTGCTGACATCATCCCCATCTGCTGAGGTGCTCAAGTCTTCCTATATCTCCCTCCCCCCTATAGAGTACTACGGACCTGCGGGCCGGTTTTCCCAAACCATGTTTGCTGCTCCGGTTCGTATGCCTGTTGAACCGAACCGGCCGATCCCGCTCGTGGTGTGCCCCAAGCCTAGGGGCGAGGCCCGGGCGGAGGTTCGGGGAGGTGAGGGCAGGGGGAGGGAGGCCGGGAAGGGGTTCCCGACCTCAGGGTCGGTATCCGGTGGAACGGGATTGGTCGCTTCTTCGCCCGTGTCTGACGTGTCATCATCGGGCCTGTCTCCAGTTTCTTCGTCTTCTTCGTTGACGCTGCTAACTCCCTCCTCGTCCACCTCCTTACTATCACCGTCAGCATCCTTGTCATCAGCAGCAGCACCAGCAGCAGAACCAGCAGCAGCAGCTGCAGCCGCCACAGAAGCCGCCGCCGCAGCAGCGGCAACAGCAGCAGCAGCAGCAGCGTCAGCTGTAGCAGCAGAAGCCGCTGCAGCAGCAGCTGAAGCAGCCAATCTCACAGGGCCGGATGCGGGTGGCAAGAGCTGTCTGCTAGTGGCGGTGGGGAATGTGACGGTGTGTGTGACAGATGATGGTATCAGAGCATGGGACATGCGGCAAGCTATGTTACCCGAAGTCTCAGCAGCAGAAAACGTAGCAAGAGGAGCAGCAGCGGGAGCAGCAGCAGCAGTGGGAGCAGCAGCAGCAGGAACTAAACCAGCAGTAGATACTGCAGCCACAGCACCAGACACATCAAATCCCATCTCAAGTCAGCCGAAGGGTCTTGAAACTGCACAGGCGTCAAGGCCCTTAAAGCCCCGGTCCCGCCTTGGCTCGGACGCAGCTCCGTTTGTCTTTGTGCCGTTCCGAGGCTTGGCGGCCCGAGCCAAGAGCGTAGCCTCGGACGATAGGCTTGGGGTGGTGTTCACGGGCCACAAAGACGGGCGCGTGCTTGTATGGAGGGTGCAGACAGGGGGGGGAGGGAATGGGGGTGGGGGATTGGGAATACGGTTGCATGAACCTCGAGTGATGGTGACACTTGTAGCTGACTGGCAAGCACATACTGCGACTGTGACGGCACTGGTCATTACTCCCTATGGTGCGTATGCGCATCGCCAGCGCTTGTTGATATTGCATGGCTGGGTTGTTCCCCTCCCCCTACCCACCCCCCTAAGCACGGGCGTTGCATGTAACGGACTGGCAAGCACATGCTGCAACGGTGCCAACTCTGGTCGTCACTCCCTATGGTGCGTATGCAGGATGCTGCTGCTCTGGAGTTACATGGATCTTCCTGTGCAGTAACCCCCCCCAGCTCTGGTCGGCTGGTGATCGTGATTTTTTAGGCGCCTAAAAAATCTGCGTATGCAGGATACTGTTGCGCTGAAGTCACATGGATCTTCCTATGCAGTAACCCTCAGTTCTGCAGTTCTGGTCGTCTGGTGATCATGGCATTATCAAGGCATGGACATGGGTCTCTCTGAGCCACGAGATCCACCGATCCATGCAAGAATCGAAGGAGAGAAACATTATTGCACCTGACTTACATCCCTGGCCCCCCTCCTCCCCCACTTCGCCCTCCATTCTCCACCCCCGCCCACACATGGCAGGCGAGTTGTGGTCGTCTGGTGATCGCGGCGTTATCAAGGCATGGACGTGGGTCTCTCTGAGCCACGAGATTCATAGAGCCATGCAAGCACTAAAGGAGAGAAACAGCATTGCACCTGACTCACAGCAGCACGCCACGTCAGCCCTGCCAGTCCGCATCAACCCTGCCTGCGTGGAGCTTCGGCACCGAGCCTCAGCTTCCGGGGGGGAGCAGGCTCGGAACAACCTGGAAACCAGCAGTGCAGGGGGATATGGCGTCGGTGGGATGACCGCCCTTGAGAGGAGCACTTGTTATGACAGTGACGCAAAGGCCCCAGCCTTTGCGCCTGAGAGCACTACATCCTTAGCTGTTACTCCTGCCGTAACACCTGTAACGCCTGTAACATCAGCTGTATCGGGCGTAACAAGCGTTTCGGCTGGGAGGGGAGCAGTAAGGATGATGGTGGCAGATGCGGCGAACGGATGGGTGTGGGCTGCTGGTCCTAATTCGGCCTGTATATGGTAAGCTTTGACCTCTCGAAACTTGCGTGAAAGCCTTTACAACGTTCTATTTTTTGTTATTTGTCTTTAAGCAGTTGGGCACAATGATTGGGGTGCGTGCATACATAAACACCAAAATCTGATCACCTGTCCCATACCCGTACACACCCCTCTGAATCCCTCCGCAAACCCCTTTCACTTGGTCAAAGGGATGCAAGAAGACTAGAGGTCATACGGATCCTCTCCTCCCTACTACACCCCTCATCACCCCTCCATGCCCTTACACACCCCTCTGTATCCCTCCGCACCCCCCTCCTCCCCCTTCGAAAGGGATGCAAGAAGACGAGAGGTTATCCGAGCACTCTCCTCCCTTTCAGACCCAAGCGCATCAGAGGAGCCTTCCAGGGCCCTTCCCCCTCGAGTCGACTCACCTAGCAACAACAGAAATGACGTCAGCAGTGACGTCAACAGCAGCGGCAGCAGTGCCATCACCAGCACCACCGGTAGTAACGCTAGAGACAGGCGCATGGAAGGGGCGTGGAAACTTTTAGCTAAGTCCCGGGAAGTGTTGGGGAGGGCCAAAGGGGCGGTGACTGATGCTGTAAGGGCAGCAGCAGCAGCTTCGAAAGGAGAGGAGTACTTAAGTGAAAGTGCCGGGGGGTTCGAAGATAGTGGCGGAAATGTGAATGGCGGGACAGGGGGAGGAGCAGGAGGAGGAGGGGGGGGAGGAGGGAAAAGAGGAGGGAGTGGGGAGAGGGGTAGTGGCGGCAGCAATACTCTAGCCTCTGCTTCAGCAGCACTAGGAGTCTCTGGGGGATCATTGAGAAAGCTCCAAGCAGCAGCTGCTGTGGGCGATGGTTCGGTCTGGTTCGGGTTCAGGTCCGGCGCGCTGGTTCGGATCGACAGGTTTGGGGCTCGAGTGCTGGAGGTGGGGTTGGAAGGGGGGGTGTGTTGTCTCTGTGTTGTGGGGTTGAGGTTATGGGTGGGGATGGCGGATGGGGGGATGGTGGTGCTTGGAGCAAGGAATGGCAGGAGGTTGGGAGGATGGCCGGGGGTGCAACGGCTGAGCCGAAAGCAGCAGCGGGAGTACCAGCAGAGCCAGCAGCAGCAGCAGTACCAGCAGCAGCAGCAGCAGAACCAGCAGAGCCAGCAGCAGCAGCAGTACCAGCAGCAGCAGCAGCAGAACCAGCAGAGCCAGCAGCAGCAGTACCAGCAGCAGCAGCAGCAGTACCAGCAGCAGCAGCAACACCAGCAGCAGCAGCAGCAGCAGTTACAGGGAGGGAACAGCAGCAGTGGGGACTTGGATGTTTTTGGAAGTGCAGCCGACAGCAGCAGTGGGGGAGTCACCACCACCGGCAGCACCGCCACCGGCAGTGGCAGTGGCGGTACCAGCATGAGCGGTGCTCTGGGCGTTTCTGGCCTTCCACCTATCCGCCAGCTGCTGCCTTTCACCCTGGGCCTAGTTGCCAAAGGTGCCACTACCGCCAGCAGTACCAGCAGCAGCAGTAGGGACAAGAGTACTGACAGTGGCAGCTACAGTAGCACCACGACAGTGGGCCAGTTTGTCTTATCCGTGGCGAAAAATGGCGAAGTAACTGCCTGGGTCTCCTCCCTCCCCTCCACCCTCGAATCCGCCCTCCACACCACTCTCGCCGCCCAATCCCAGGCGTTCACTAGAAGACGAAAGCTGCAAGTGGCGACGGGCACATGGAACGTGGGGGAGGAGAAGCCGGATGGGGAGACGGTGCAGGCTTGGCTGGGGGAGGTGGCGAGGGGAGCGGATGTGGTTGCAGTGGGGTTGCAAGAGGTTGAGATGGGTGCAAGGGCCATTGCTCTGGCTGCGGCAAAGGAATCAGTGGGTATGGGACTGCAGGAGAAGGAGTCTGCTGCGGCTCAAGAGTGGGTGGCTGCTATTCGCAAGGCCCTTTCTTCGACTCCGTCCGGTGCTGCTTCTATCGAGGATGGGTTTGTGCGAATCGCGTCGCGACAGCTGGCGGGCATGCTGCTGACTGTGTGGTGAGAGATGGGCGGCAAACTGTTTTGTTGCCATGTGCATCCCAGATGTAGCTTTTCTCCATTTCTTCTTTCGCCCACCACGATCAGGCTCCTCTGTTTACTGTGACCCTTTGTACAGTCATCACCTTCCTTGCATTACCCGACCGACTGATTCTCTCCCTTCCTCCATGTGTTAACACACCTATCTCACCTCCACGTGTGTATTTACTCGCCTTTGTACTGTTGTTAACATGGCTATCGCAGGGTGCGCGAGTCGCTCCTTCCCGACAGCATATCTGACGTCGAAACAGGCGCTGTGGCATGCGGTTTCGGCCGAGCTCTGGGAAACAAGGTGAGCACTCGTTTGGTACCTCCCCAGACCACTCCCTCCCCTTTTTTTTGAGGCGCCTAAAGATTGTATTGTCTCGTGCGGGTTTGGCCGAGCTAGTTTTGAGGTGCTCAGAAACTTCCCTCCCCTTTATTCGAGGCACCTAGGAATGGTATTGTCACATGCGGGTTTGGCCGAGCTAGATTTGAGGTGCTCAAGAACTTCCCTCCCCCTTTTTCATGGTGCCTAAAAATGGTGTTGCCACATGCGGGTTTGGCGGAGCTCTTGGAAACAAGGTGAGCACTCGTTTGGTACCTCCCCGGACCATTCCTTCCCCTTTTCTCGAGGCGCCTAAGAATGGTATTGTCACAAGTGGGTTTGGCCGAGCTCTTGGAAACAAGGTGAGCGCTTGCTCGTTTGGTGCGTAGGTGGCGTTTGATCCCCAAGTCGTGTGTGTGTAGTTTTTCCTTTTCCTATCGAAGTCCTCTGTCTAAATTGTGGTGTTTGTGCTGCCTTCCTACTCTTTTTCTCCAGCTGGGTTCTTCTTTATTTCCATCCATCGACTGCTGGCAACCTTCTCACTCACTCACTCCTCACTCTCTCGATCACTCTCACTCTCTCACTTTAATCACCCTCACACTCTCTCACTCACCTACCAGGGGGGCGTGGGAGTGCGCATGACAGTGTGTGGCCGCGTCTGTGCAATCATCAAATGCCACCTGGCAGCACACGACAACGCCACTAGCAGTTACTCACTCACTCCTCTACTCACCCAATTGTGTACCAGGGAGGGGTTGGAGTGCGCATGACGGTATGCGGGCGCGTCTGTGCAATAATAAACTGCCACCTGGCAGCGCACGACAACGCCACAGCCAAGCGCAACGAGGACTGGCATCGCATCTACACTTGCATGGAGTTTGGGCGGTCCATGGGGACAGTGGGCACTGCTGCCACCAACGCAGCGAAAGCTGCTGGAGGTACAACCATGGGGAAGGGGGATAGGGAAGTAGGGGTGGGCGGGTATGTTGAGGAGCAACGAGGACTGGCATCGCATCTACACGGCCATGGAGTTTGGCCAGTCCATGGGGACAGTTCAAGTCGTCGCATACCAGAACTAACTTTTCAGTCACCTCACCGTCCCTCTTCTCCTCTCTTCTCTCTTCACCCAGTTTCCAATCAGCCGTACAGGGATTTGTAAAGGCGGCAGGGATGGGGGTGGAAAAAATGGCTTTGAAAAGTCACAATTGAACCTTGCACCTGCCCTTTCCCCCATCTTCTCCCTTTCAGCCGGCCTCCAAACCGCCGTACAGGGCTTTGTGAAGGCTGTTGGCAGGCAGGGGAGTCACGAGAATTGTTTCGAGTTGTCATGTACAAGACATAACTTCGCCATTCTCGTCACACGCCCTCTTCTCCCCTCTTCTCCCCTCTTCTCCCCTCTTCTCCCCTTCTTCTCCCCTCTTCTCCCCTCTTCTCCCTTCTTCTCCCCTCTTCTCCCCTCTTCTCCCCTCTTCTCCCTTCTTCTCCCCTCTTCTCCCCTCTTCTCCCCTCTTCTCCCTTCTTCTCCCCTCTTCTCCCTCTTCTCCCCTTCTTCTCCCCTCTTCTCCCTTCTTCTCCCCTCTTCTCCCTTCTTCTCCCCTCTTCTCCCTTCTTCTCCCCTCTTCTCCCTTCTTCTCCCCTCTTCTCCCTTCTTCTCCCTTCTTCTCCCCTCTTCTCCCTTCTTCTCCCCTCTTCTCCCTTCTTCTCCCTTCTTCTCCCCTCTTCTCCCCTCTTCTCCCCTCTTCTCCCCTCTTCTCCCTTCAGTGGCTTCCAGTCAGCCATACAGGGCCTGTCAAAGCGGCAGGGAGGGCGTGGAAAAAACAGCTTTGGGACATCGCAATTGAATCTTGCCCCTGCCCTTTCCCCCATCTTCTGTTTTCCAGCTGGCTTCCAATCCGCCGTACAGGGCTTTGTAAAGGCAGCAGGCAGGGGCGTGGGTGCAGCAGGGGCGGCAGGCTTTGTCCCCATCTCAAGCACCCAATCCACCGACGTGTCGTGCTCTGATTGGACGAGCGCTGGTGCCGGCAGCAGCTGGAACACTGGAGGAAACGGCAGCAGCATTGGCACTGTGAACAGTGACTCCTACCCTGAGGTGCGGCCCCTTTCCTCCTTGAGAATTCTAAAAATTTGTGACAGCAGCAGCAGCAGCAGCATCGGCACTGTGAAGAGTGATTCCTACCCTGAGGTGCGGCCCCCTCCCTCCCTGGATGATTCCGAGGTTATGAGTCGACTCAAACCTAGCAGCGGCGGTACCAGCAGCAGCTGTATCGGCATTCTCGACAGGAATTCTTTTCTTGAGGTGCGATCCCCATCCTTGGGAGATTCTGAGGTGCCTGGAAGTTCAACCGAGCTGCTCGACAGGCGTGCTGGTCAGACAGATGCTGAGCCAGGGAACGAAGAGGGAGGCGTTGAGCGCCTCCTCCTGAAATCGGGGCCACCTCCTTCTTTAGAACCTCCATATACCGGTGTACCCAGTCAGGCATATCACTGGTTCAGCCTCATAGCGAAGGCGCTCTCAATGGATGTCCTTGGTTCGGCTGCTTCTGCTGCTGTGTGCTGCTGCTTCTGCGTGTTCCTGGCTCTGCTGCTCTTTGCTGCCGTTGCAGCAGGCTGGCTGACAGCTGCTGCTGCTGTAGTGGTTGCAGTGGCTGCTGCTGCTGCATTAGCTGCCTCACTCCCGGTGAGTCTGCCACCCTTCGTCAATTGTTAAAAAGGAGGAGGAAAAGGGAGTCCATATGAGTTGAGTTGGTTTATAAGGCCACTCCTTTCAACACTTCAGAGATTTGTCTGTGAGTAATTTCGTTTTAAGACGTCTGCTGCGACTGCTGCAGTGGCCGCAGTTTTGGCCTTTTGAGGCGCCTCAAAAGCGCTAAAAGTTGGAGTGTGAGTTTCTCCAGATGCTCTAAAAGCAGCTGTGAATTTGTGCGATAGTAATTTCGTCTGAGTCGACTGAAAACGAGTTGGAATGTGAGTCTCTCCAGCTGCTACTACTTCCTTAAGCCCCCCAAAAAAAAGAGCTGCTACTGCTGCAGTGGTCGCCCTAGCGGCCGCAAGTTTCCTTTGTTTGCAGCTGGGTGTTCTCGAAGAGTGGTACAAAAACCCAATACCCCAGCCCCCATACCTGGCAACAGCATTGCCAGGCGGTGTGCAGCAGCATTGCCAGGAGGCAGTACCCGCTGCTGCTGGCGTGCGACCAGTTGAGAGGGCAGGAGAGACGAGATGCACTGTGCGGCTGAACAACCCCCGTCCTCTTCCTCCCTTTCCTTCCCCTGCGCTTCCCACAGCCCGCCTCGTCCCTTCCCGACCTGTCCCAGTGCGACCTACTTATCTGGATGGGAGACTTGAATTTTCGACTGGACGGTCCAACCTATGAGGAGGCATGTAAAGCCGTCGCCAGGAGGCAGTACCCGCTTCCTGGCGTGCGACCAGCTGGGAGGGGATATGACAGCTGGGGGGGGGAGGAAGGAAGGAATTCCCATTCCTGCTTTTTTTCTATCTGCTCCTCCCTTTCCTTTTCGCCCCCTCCACAGCTCCCCTCGTCCCTTCCGGACCTGTCCCAGTGCGACCTGCTCGTATGGATGGGCGATTTGAATTACCGCTTGGATGGGGTTTCGTACGAGGAGGCATGCAGCAGCATCCCCAGGAGGCAGTACCCGCTGCTGCTGGCGTGCGACCAGCTGAGAGGGGAGATGAAGGCTGGGAGGGCGTTTGTGGGGATGCTGGAGGGAAACGTGGACTTTGCTCCCACGTACAAGTTCGACCGAGGGACCCTGAGCCCTCTGGGTGAGTGGTTTTAGGCTCCTTTGTAAGTGGCTATTGCTGCCTCTGCTGCTGCTGCTGCTGCTACTGGCTGGCTGCTGCTGGCTGCTGGCTGGCTGCTGGCTGCTGGCTGCTGGCTGCTGCTGGCTGGCTGCTGCTGCTGGCTGCTGCTGCTGCTGCTGCTGGCTGGCTGCTGCTGCTGCTGGCTGCTGCTGCTGCTGCTGGCTGCTGCTGCTGCTGCTGCTGGCTGCTGCTGCTGCTGCTGCTGCTGCTGCTGCTGCTGCTGCTGCTGCTGCTGCTGCTGCTGCTGCTGCTGCTGCTGCTGCTGCTGCTGCTGCTGCTGCTGCTGCTGCTGCTGCTGCTGCTGCTGCTGCTGCTGCTGCTGCTGCTGCTGCTGCTGCTGCTGCTGCTGCTGCTGCTGCTGCTGCTGCTGCTGCTGCTGCTGCTGCTGCTGCTGCTGCTGCTGCTGCTGCTGGCGTGTGACCACCAGCTGAGAGGGGAGATGAAGGCGGGGAGGGCGTTCGTGGGGATGAGGGAAGGAAACGAGTTTTGAGGCGCCTCAAAAAAAGGAAACGTGGACTTTGCTCTGACCTACAAGTTCGACTGCAGGACTCTCAGCCCTATGGGTGAGTGGTTTGTCGCGTTACCCACGGGAAGAGATGGGCTTCCCATGGTTAACACAGCAGCAAGGGAGGAGTGGGTTGAGGAAGAGAAGAATCGAAGAAGAAGACTTGGGGTGAATCGGTAGGAATAACAGAAAAGTAAGGTGATACGGAAGAAGGTACAGTACGGCACTGTACCAATTCAGCAATACAGCAAATCGAGGGTGTAGAGACAGAAATGTCGAAGGACCGAGGCGCGAACCAAAATGAGGTGGAGGGCGTCAGCAGGGGCCCAATCTGACGGAAAAGGGGGTCAAGCGCAATCTCAGTTCTCAAGGGAAGAAGGAGAAGAGGGAATGACAGAGCAGAGGAAACTGGAAGTGTAAATAGTAGGCAACTCAGTAGGATGATCGCTTTTCGCTTGTATGTTTTCCTTCAATACTGCAAATTCGCTCTAATCCTACTAGAGTTCAGCAGTGCGGGAATTCGATCCTAAGTAGATCTGAGCAGGCGTCGTGCAGAGCTTGGTCCCAGGGCACCAGTGATAACCTACACAAGGCGGAATGGATCAGGGAGGAAGAAGGGTAAGGAGGAAGGATAGTTGAAGCAAAGGAAGACTTGGGAGTGGCACGAAGCACGACAGGTTTTAGGCTCATCTGTAAGTGGCTGCCACTGCTGCTGCTGCTGTTGCTGCTGTTACTGCTGCTGCTGCTGTTGCCGCTGCTGCTGCCACTGCTGCTACCGCTGCTGCTGCTGCTGCCGCTGCTGCTGCTGCTGCTGCTGCTGGCGTGCGAGCAGCTGAGGGGGGAGATATAAGGCGGGGAGGGCGTTCGTGGGGATGAGGGAGGGGGAGGTGGAATTTGCCCTGACCTTCAAGTTCGACCGAGGGACTCTGATCCCTCTGGGTGAGTGGTTTTACTCCCTCTGACTTGTAGGCGTGTTCTGGGAATTCTCAAAACAGGCTTACTCCGACTTCTGTTCTTCTGTGCCACCCCTCCCAGCATATGTTTTGGGCGAAAGTGCAGGGTGCCTGCCTGGTCGGGTTGGTGACTGCCTGCACATTTCTCTCTGAGTGTATCTCCTTCTTTCTTCTCTCCTGTATCCCTCGTCCCTCCCTGCCACGCCATCTCTCCCAGCATACGATTCGGGCGAAAAGCGAAGGGTGCCTGCCTAGGCGGGTTGGTGACCTGCCTGCACATTTCTCTCTTAGTGTACCTCCTGCATTCTTTTATCCTGCATCCCTCGTCCCTCCCTCCTGTGCCACCCCTCCCAGCATACGATTCGGGCGAAAAGCGAAGGGTGCCTGCCTGGTGCGACCGCATCCTCTTTAGAGACAGCTTCGCCAGCATCGCACAGAGTGGTGGAGCGTTCGGAAGTGATTCACTAGGGAAAGGGAGGGATGGTGGTGGTGGTGGCGGTGGCAGTGTTGTGTGCGACGAGAGGAGCACTCTTTCCAAGCCTGTTGAAGTGCAAGTGATTCGGTGAGTTACCTCTCAAAGCGATGGCTGCTGAAGCCTTGATGGCTAAAATCAAGTGATTTGTACTTGTGCTAGGGAGCACCACTTAGTGGTGGTTTTAACCATGTCCATGTATGGCTAAAACCACCACTAAGTGGTGCTCCCTCTGTTTAAGCCTCAATGGCTAACATCGAGTGATTTGTACGTGTGTAATGAGTCGATTTTTGAGTCAACTCATTACACACGAATTTGTACTTGTGCTTCAGAGAGACCATCAAGCCCATGACCTCCCTCCTTCCTCTTCCGCCCTTCCCCTCCGCACTTCCTGCCTGCTGTGTCTTGTCCCCCTTGCCTCCTCCCAGCTACACATCCTGCATGGCCGCCTTCCAGAGCGACCACAAGCCTGTGGCCTCCCTACTGGCTGGCGCCATCGCCTGCCCTGACGCTGCCATTCAGCGGTCCCTCGTCCCTCTGTGTCTCATTCCTCCTTCCTTCCTCCCCTTTCCTCACAGGTATTCATCCTGCATGGCTGCCTTCCAGAGCGACCACAAGCCCATCACCTCGCTCGTGGCTGTCGCCATCGCCTCATCCCCCTCTCCTCCCCTGTTGTCCCTCAACCCCCCTCCCACCAGCAGCTACAGTGCCTGCATGTCGGCCTTTCAGAACTACCACAAGCCCGTCGCCTCTCCCATGGCTGTCACCATCGCCTCATCTCTCCTCCCCTGTTGTCCATCCCCCCCCCCCCCCCTTCCCCAACCATCAGCTACACATCCTGCATGGCTGCCTTCCAGAGCGATCACAAGCCCGTGACCTCCCTAATGGCTGTCACCATCGCCTGCCCTGACGCTGCTGCGCAGAGATCCCTGGTCACTCGCCTCCTCTCCTCACCCCTCCTCTCCTCTCCCACCAACCCCACTACTCCCACTCCCTCCTCTCATCCCCTTCCTACAACCTCGGGGGAGGTCGGTCCTCCTGCCTACTCTTTTTTTGAGGCGCCTACAAAACCGCCTTCTACCTCCTCCTCCTCTGAAGCTCCCACTCTCTCCTCGCTCCTCCTGCAAATGGCAACCGCTCACCACCCCTCCGTCCCAGCATCCGGCACTTGTGTGAGGATAGACCCAGTGACCAGACGAGCGTCGGTTGTGGTTAGCAACAGAAGCAGTAGGAGCAAAGGGCATGTGATGGGGTTCAGCGTGCGGTGCGAGGGGGAGGTTGAGGGGTGGAGGGTGGGGGAGACTGAGGGGTGGGGGGAGGGGGAGAAGGGGGTGGAGGGATCTGGTGCTGGAAACGAGGCAGGGGTGACTGATGGTGATGTGATTAAGGCGAGGGCACATGGTGGATGGCCACTTTGGCTGCAGGTACAGCCTGGGGCAGGTGTTATCTCGCCAGGGGATGCAGCAACGGTGGAATTCAGCATTCAGCACACTGAAAGCACACCGCCAAGCAACACACCTAGCCCCTCGCTCCTCGACTCGCAACAGCCCTCCTGCGTGCTTGCAATGGTGGTTACCACATGGGGAACCACTCCTGTAACCATGCAGATACATAGGTTTTGCCTGACTGTCCCGCAGTTTAGTCCTGGGCTGGAGTTGAACACACTGTGGGAGCCAGCAGTCGCTAGGGCATTGCCGTTGCCCACCGGCAGAGGGTCAGGGGGGAGTAGGTCCACTTCACCCCTGCGCTTCTAGAGCCCCCCGGCCCCCACACACCCCCATGTACTATGCAGACGCATAGGTTTTGCCTGGCTGTCGTGCAGGTTAGTCCTGGTCTGGAGTTGAACACACTGCGAGCCAGCAGTCGCTAGGGCATTGCCATTGCCCTCCAGCAGAGGGAGAGGGGGGGGGAGTGGGTTGACCACACCATTCAGATGATTATCAAATTCCCTCATATACACTTCAAACACGACAAGCGTAGCCGTAGCACCATATATCCCTCCCCTCCAGAGCCTCAGATTCGTTTTGGGGCACGCTGATCGCTCAGTGTCCCCCCTGTCATAAAGTCACCAGTCCTAACCATTGGGACAAGAAGGGATGTCATCAGGAGGGTTAGGCTCCATACATCCACCTTCCCCGGGGAAAGCCTCCCCAGTACCCTCCCTAGAGAGAGAGAAAGAGAGAGAGAGAGAGAGAGAGAGAGAGAGAGAGAGAGGAGAGAGAGAGAGAGAGAGAGAGAGAGAGAGAGAGAAGAGAGAGAGAGAGAGAGAGAGAGAGAGAGAGAGAGAGAGAGAGAGAGAGAGAGAGAGAGAGAGAGAGAGAGAGAGAGAGAGAGAGAGAGAGAGAGAGAGAGAGAGAGAGAGAGAGAGAGAGAGAGAGAGAGAGAGAGAGAGAGAGAGAGAGAGAGAGAGAGAGAGAGAGAGAGAGAGAGAGAGAGAGAGAGAGAGAGAGAGAGAGAGAGAGAGAGAGAGAGGATCGATAAGGTCATCCCAGTGCCACGACACACCCCCCCGCTGGGATAGCGTGTACACCAGGAATTGAACCCCAGATGGCTCTGATGCCATGCCAAAAAGTCACAAATCCTAACCATTGAACAAGAAGGATGTCATTAGGGGGGTCAGGCCCAACAAAAAGCCTCCCTACTACCCTCCCTAGAGAGAGAGTGAGAGAGGATCGATAGGGTTAGCCCAGTGCCACGGCACCCCCCTCGCAACTCGCTGTTTTGACAGGCCTCGCGAAAAATAAAAATAAAAATAAAAATAAAAATAAAAATTGTTCATGTTAGCTTGAATGAATGATTAAAACGAAGGGGGAACAAGAGAGTTATAGTGTTGGAGTTGTACCCTCTAACAACATATATCTATCTAGCCTATAACTTCTACATATCAACATCTGTATAAGTTGACACACCCCCTAGGCTAGATAAAGGGTAGCGCAGAGGAATAAACACACAGCTCAGAGTGGCACTACTAGTCCAGCCTCTGAGACAGGGGTCCAAAGACCAATTACCAAGGGTACAAACGAGACAAGAGCAAACCCAGGGCGGCACTACTAGTCCGACCACTGGAACAGTAGCCACAAGGCCAGTCTGAAGGACCTAAATATAGATGAGTACACAATCAAGGTCCTAGCAAGTGAGAGTCTACAGAAACTAGACCTAGCTGCAAGCAATGCCGCTGATGATCTTTAGGCGCAAGCGCCTTAGTAAAGATATCAGCTGTGTTTGGCACCGGAGGCCTAGTGTACTACCCGGGCCTGGCGACGATGCTGTAGCTCGCGCAGGAGGAAGTACCGCAGCTGGATGTGCTTCGCTCTGCCCTCCAGTCGAGGCTCCCCGACATAGGAGAATCATGGCCCTGTTGTCAGCGTACAGGACCGGGGCAGAGCTAGGCCGCTCACCTAAGTCGGCAAGCGAGAAGGTCAGCCAGCAGAGCTCCTGTACCGCCATGGCACCGGCATAGATCTCAGCCTCACAGCTAGACGAGGAACGAGTGGACCTCCACGAGATGGCACCTGAACCAAGGCTAAAGTAGTAGCGCTGGGAGGACCTGAGGGTCTCAGCGTCGTTTGCCCAAGAAGCGTCTGTGTGCCCAGTAAGGACCACTGGCCTACGTCCTCCCAGCACTAGCCCCATACCCGATGTACTTGCAAGATAACGCAAAACTGTCTTAACGGCCGACCAGTGCTGTGGTCGGTGTCTGCATGGGGCCACAAAGCGAGCCAGGATGCTGAGAGGGTATGCGAGATCTGGACGAGTGCAAGTCATCAGGTACATGAGGCAACCGACCAGCTATGCATAAGGACCACTGGGCTCTGCTGACTACTCGGGAACTGGAGCTGAGAGCCTGTGGTCTACTTGCAGAGGTGTGGACTGTGTAGAGGAGAACTAAAGACCGAACCTCTGAAAGACCTGGCGCACCAAGTGTGACTGTGTAAGAGTGATGGTGCGCGCTGCTCTGTCCCTAGAGACCTGCAGGCCAAGGTAGCAGCGCAACTCTCCTAGGTCAGTGCAGGTGTGTCTCCTCAGCAGCTCGGCCTTCACGGAGGCCAGTGCGTCTCTGTCTGCAGTAGCGAAGACCAGGTTATCTACGTAGACAAGGATGTAGAATGGAGTCTGGCCAGCACGAACGAAGAGCGAAGGGTCTGCAGCCGACAGAAAGAACTGCACGTCAGCTAGCGTAGCACGCAGCATGTCGTGCCACTCACAGTGCACCCATCGCAGGCAGTAGACCGGGCGTCGAAGGGGCCACTGGGTCCCAGGAGGGAAGGCCTGAGGACGGTGCAGGTAGACCTGCTCATGTAGGCTGCCCTGCAGAAAAGCAGTGGAGAAGTCGAGGGAGTGAAGCTCGTAGTCACGCTGAGCTGCTACGTGTAGCAGAGCCCGAAGAGTAGTCATCTTCGGGGTCGGGGCGAAAGTCTGAAAGAAGTCCACCCCCTTTCGCTGACTGAAGACTCTAGCCACGTAGCGCGCCTTGAACACAGGCGGCTCTCCAGGAGGGCACTTCACCTTGAAGAGCCACCGGCCATTGACTACGTTCACCCCAGGTGGAGGAACTATGTCGACGTAGGTGCCGGTGGATCTCCAAGATGCCATCTCCTGCTCTATGGCAGCTATCCACTGAGAGGCCCAGGGTCCCGAGGTCGCCTCAGCGTAGGTGCGAGGGGTCGGGATGTCAAAAGCGTCTGGGTCACCCTCAGGGACTAGCAGCATGGAACAGAGATGGGGAGCAGCCTCGGAGACGAAAGCAAGCTCGTACTGCTTGTCCTCTAGAACGTCACTGCCAAGGGCAGGAACACCCTCGATAGACGGAGGACGGGCAGGATCAGAGACCAGAGCGGTGGCGTAGTCAAGGCGGCGGTTAGAGGCGAAGTCAGCGAGAGCAGCGACAAGAGCGTCAAGACTCGAGAGAGGAACAGATGGGTTGGTAACAAGGGAGGCAAGGACCCGAGGAACAAGAGGACGAGTAGCACGAAGGTAGTCAAACAGCGGGAAAGGCGCGACAGCGAGTGACAACGGAGGAGGCGAAGGCAAGAGGGGAGGACGAGACGCGTGGGAACGAAGGAGCATAGGGTGAGAACGCTGAACAGGGGAGACAGGATGAGCACGAGGGAGACGGCGAGACCAGACATGAGACGGAGGCGTCGGGTCAGGAGATAGAGGAGGAGTAACAGGAGGGGAACAAGGTGGGAAACGAGTCGGGGACGAGTCTGGCGCAGGAAACACAGGACCGTGGACAGGAAGAGGAGGAGGCACGAACGAGCGGTCGGGGGAGGGAAGGCCAAGCACGCGAAGGGCGGACACCGGTGGCGACTGCTGCTGCTGCTGCTCGACGCCGACACACGGACCACCAGCTGCACCACGGTCACCTCGAGAACACTCCACTCTAGCACCCCCAGAACAAGCACCCCCAGAGCAAGAACCCTCTCCGATACCGGTGCCACCCCTGAGCCCGCCGGGACAAGCCATGATAGGAACCCCATGACTAGCACCCTCCTCAACACCAGCACCCCCAGAGTCCACAAACGGCTCCGGCTGTTGCAGCGGCGACGGCAACAGGGGAGGAGGAGACTCTGGGGAAAGGACAAGTGGCGCAAATAGCACCGCAGGGCCACCAAAGTTAGCCGACTCCTCGAACGGGGCAACCGACGGGAGGGGAGTGACGTGAGACACACCAGAGGGAGCAGGACGGGGAGGGTGGGGGGCAGGGGCGACGGGGGGAGTGGGAACCAGAAACAGGGGGGATGAAACTGGGAGACCTCGGTGGGGAAAGCGGTGGTAAAAGGAGACAGACTCGTCGAAAGTGACGTCACGGGAGTGAAGGAAGCGGTGGGACTGCGGGTGGTAAAAGTGCCAGTCAGACGAGTCAACGGGAAAACCGAGGAAGACACAGGGGACAGTGCGGGCAGTGAGCTTGTCCGTGCCAGAGGCACGAACGTGAGCGAGGCAGCCCTAGATGTGAAACGCAGATGCGTGACCAGGGAACCCGGTCCAAAGAAGGGTTGGCGAAACCTGCGGCCGCTGAGAGTGCGGCCACAGGTTAAGCTGGTGAGTGGCGTAGCGAACGGTGAACGGCCACAGAAAATGGGGTGCACCGGCATGGATCATGGAGGTACGAGCCACCTCCATGACCAAACCGATGCGTCGATCAGCGACCCCATTCTGCTGCGGGGAGTCCGGTAGGGTGTACGTCTGGGTGATGCCCTCCGTACGACAAAACTGACCAAGCCTTCCATAGGAGAACTCGCCACCACGGTCAGAGTGAAGACACAGCCCAGGGAGACCGCGGTGGAGGCGCGCAGCTATGACCCAGGGGATAAGAACGCCAGACACGTCGGCCTTTCGCTCCTGGGAAAACACCGTGGTGTAGTGCATGGAGTCGTCGACGAGCACGGGAAAAAAGTGCTCGCGACGCGGTCCAGTGACGGGGGCTGGGCCGCAGACGTCCAAATGGAGGGTTTGGAGTGGTGCAGCGGCAGGACGAAGGAAGGAGGAGTGAGGAGCACGGCGTAGCCGGCCCTCGACGTAGGGCGTGCATGACGGCGCAGGCGAGAGAGGGAGGGCGTGGAGCGACGCAGGGAGGCCTAGGACGAGACCGTGCTGAGACATGTGACGTAGACGTTGGAGCGCAGGGTGACCTAGGCGGTAGTGCCACAGATGCGACGGGTGAGTGAGCGACCGACACGAGCAAGCCGCAGCAACCTGAGTAGATGCAGGAAGCGGGGAGGACGCGCCCAACGAGGGAGAAGCATTGTCCAGCGTAAATAGGCCAAACACCAGGTCCCGGGGGAACGTCGCAAGGGGGGCACCTGAGGCGGTCTCGGTACAGACTGCGTACCGCTCGTGACCAAGGAACGTAGTGGTGGCATCGAGGTCCTGAAGATAGCCGACACCAACTAAGTTCGCGGAGAATGAAGGGATGTGCAGGCCTGTAAGGGAGCCCGAGGGAACCGCCAGACAGGGAAGGGTGGTAGAACTCCGAGCAAATATAGGACCAGAGGAGGGGTCAGCAAGGGAGACAGCGGCAGGCGGTGTGAGGGTGGCGTGGTCGCGGAAGAAGTAGGCAGAGGCACCAGAGTCAAGAGTGAAGGATAGTGAAGCCACAGTGGCCGACAAAGGAGGAGCAAGTGTAGAACCTAGGCTAGACAACGCAAGCGGTCCTATGCCTGACGCAGCAGGGGAGGCTAGACTATGCACAGGTGCTACGCCTAAGCTAGAGAACAAAGAGTAATAAGATCCGGAAACACTCGAAGTGTCAACATACAGAGAATGCAAAGCAGAACTAATCTGAACCATGTCTAGGTCAAACACTGGCACACCGTGGCGCAGCAGACTGGGCCAGTCAGGGAGGTCCGGGGCTGGACCAAAGCGGCGACGGAAGAGGTCGTCGAGGCGGCGGAAGCAGCGGGCAGTCGGGTACGGGCGCCGGCACACCGTGCCACGGAGGGGCCCGGTCTGTAGCTGGTACTGGCAGCTCACAGAGCTGAAGCCGCCAGGGGACACCGAGCTGCGAGGGCCACCACCATGACCAATACCTCCAGGGGCTCCTGGCCACCCCGGCGGG